CCCAACTCCAGGATGCTGCATTCAACACTGGGATAACCACATGCAGGCTATCAGGATGCTGTATCCAACACTGGGATAACCACATGCAGGCTATCAGGATGCTGTATCCAACACTGGGATAAGCACATACAGGCTATCAGGATGCTGTATCCAGCACTGGGATAACCACATGCAGGCTATCAGGATGCTGTATCCAACACTGGGATAACCACATGCAGGCTATCAGGATGCTGTATCCAACACTGGGATAACCGCATGCAGGCTATCAGGATGCTGTATCCAGCACTGGGATAACCGCATACAGGCTATCAGGATGCTGTATCCAACACTGGGATAACCACATGCAGGCTATCAGGATGCTGTATCCAACACTGGGATAACCGCATGCAGGCTATCAGGATGCTGTATCCAGCACTGGGATAACCGCATACAGGCTATCAGGATGCTGTATCCAGCACTGGGATAACCACATACAGGCTATCAGGATGCTGTATCCAACACTGGGATAACCACATGCAGGCTATCAGGATGCTGTATCCAACACTGGGATAACCGCATGCAGGCTATCAGGATGCTGTATCCAGCACTGGGATAACCGCATACAGGCTATCAGGATGCTGTATCCAACACTGGGATAACCACATGCAGGCTATCAGGATGCTGTATCCAACACTGGGATAACCACATGCAGGCTATCAGGATGCTGTATCCAACACTGGGATAACCACATACAGGCTATCAGGATGCTGTATCCAACACTGGGATAACCACACGCAGGCTATCAGGATGCTGTATCCAACACTGGGATAACCACATACAGGCTATCAGGATGCTGTATCCAACACTGGGATAACCACATGCAGGCTATCAGGATGCTGTATCCAACACTGGGATAACCACATACAGGCTATCAGGATGCTGTATCCAACACTGGGATAACCACATACAGGCTATCAGGATGCTGTATCCAGCACTGGGATAACCACATACAGGCTATCAGGATGCTGTATCCAACACTGGGATAACCACATACAGGCTATCAGGATGCTGTATCCAACACTGGGATAACCGCATACAGGCTATCAGGATGCTGTATCCAGCACTGGGATAACCACATACAGGCTATCAGGATGCTGTATCCAGCACTGGGATAACCACATACAGGCTATCAGGATGCTGTATCCAACACTGGGATAACCACATGCAGGCTATCAGGATGCTGTATCCAACACTGGGATAACCGCATACAGGCTATCAGGATGCTGTATCCAGCACTGGGATAACCGCATGCAGGCTATCAGGATGCTGTATCCAACACTGGGATAAGCACATGCAGGCTATCAGGATGCTGTATCCAACACTGGGATAACCACATACAGGCTATCAGGATGCTGTACCCAACACTGGGATAACCACATACAGGCTATCAGGATGCTGTATCCAACACTGGGATAACCATATGCAAGCTATCAGGATGCTGTATCCAACACTGGGATAACCACATACAGGCTATCAGGATGCTGTACCCAACACTGGGATAACCACATACAGGCTATCAGGATGCTGTATCCAACACTGGGATAACCACATGCAGGCTATCAGGATGCTGTATCCAACACTGGGATAAGCACATGCAGGCTATCAGGATGCTGTATCCAACACTGGGATAACCACATGCAGGCTATCAGGATGCTGTATCCAACACTGGGATAACCACATACAGGCTATCAGGATGCTGTACCCAACACTGGGATAAGCACATGCAGGCTATCAGGATGCTGTATCCAACACTGGGATAAGCACATACAGGCTATCAGGATGCTGTATCCAACACTGGGATAACCGCATACAGGCTATCAGGATGCTGTATCCAACACTGGGATAACCACATGCAGGCTATCAGGATGCTGTATCCAACACTGGGATAACCACATACAGGCTATCAGGATGCTGTACCCAACACTGGGATAACCGCATACAGGCTATCAGGATGCTGTATCCAACACTGGGATAACCACATGCAGGCTATCAGGATGCTGTATCCAGCACTGGGATAACTGCATGCAGGCTATCAGGGTGCTGTATCCAACACTGGGATAACCACATGCAGGCTATCAGGATGCTGTATCCAGCACTGGGATAACCGCATGCAGGCTATCAGGATGCTGTATCCAGCACTGGGATAACCGCATGCAGGCTATCAGGATGCTGTATCCAACACTGGGATAACCACATGCAGGCTATCAGGATGCTGTATCCAGCACTCAGATAACCACATGCAGGCTATCAGGATGCTGTATCCAGCACTGGGATAACCACATACAGGCTATCAGGATGCTGTATCCAACACTGGGATAACCACATGCAGGCTATCAGGATGCTGTATCCAGCACTGGGATAACCGCATGCAGGCTATCAGGATGCTGTATCCAACACTGGGATAACCACATGCAGGCTATCAGGATGCTGTATCCAGCACTCAGATAACCGCATGCAGGCTATCAGGATGCTGTATCCAACACTGGGATAACCACATGCAGGCTATCAGGATGCTGTATCCAGCACTGGGATAACCGCATGCAGGCTATCAGGATGCTGTATCCAGCACTCAGATAACCGCATGCAGGCTATCAGGATGCTGTATCCAACACTGGGATAACCACATGCAGGCTATCAGGATGCTGTATCCAACACTGGGATAACCACATGCAGGCTATCAGGATGCTGTATCCAATACTGGGATACAGGGGGGGACCAAGCAGGAGGCGGGATGCTCCAGGGCTCTGACCTTCATCCCTTTGTCATCCTCATGGTTCAGATCCTGTTTGAACCCTCCTGAATCCCACGGTCCCAGGAGATGCAGGATGGGAACAAGGGGACAGGGAGGAGGTTTCCTGGGATGGGGGCTCCACCACTGGGGAATGAAGGGGTCACAACTCACCAGGGGGGGCACGATGCCCCTTTCCCCATCCCTGTGCGGCACCTCCTGCTCCCTGCCCCACACCGGGGATGATTCCCGGGATCTGCCCCCGTTCAGCCCCACCGGGGTCCCCCCAGCTCCCCCCTGTGCCGATGCTCCCTAAGCCGCTTGCTTTAATAGCATTAAACGCTTCTAAACAAACAGGTCCTTCACCTCCGGCCCCGCGGGGACCCTGCAGGGCTGGGGGGGGACAGGGTTAAGGAGATTGGAGCGGGATTTGGGAGATAAAGGAGCAGGAGCGTGGCCAAATCCCACCCTGGGCACTCAGCCCTATGGGGTCAGCCCTAAACACCCCCTGGAGGCCCCCCTCGCTGCCCCTGTGCCCCCATTCTGGGGGGACCCCTGCTCCCCATCACCCCTGGAGCAGGAGGCAGGGGTCCCCCCACTGCATCCCCCTCATCCCCATTCCATGTCTGTGGTCCCCGGGGCTGTGTCCATGGGGGGACCTCACCTTGAAGATGGGGACAGCATCAGGGAGCTGGGGAATAAAGGAGGAGCATCAGGGGTCCGATGGGGACCGCACCAGGCATTGGGAGCTGGGGAATAAAGGAGGAAAGGGAAGGGAATGAGGGGAAACCGGGCACGAAGCTTTTCCATCACCTCCCAAGCCCCCAGGAAGGGGGGATGAAGGGTGAGGGGTTGCAAAGCCTCCTGCCCCCTGGATCTGCTGCATTTGGAGCCTTCCTGCTCCAATCCAGGTATCCCAAATTGTCCCGCTTGCATCTGGCTGGGCCACGGGGCTGGGAAGGATGGAGCAGGATGGGGAGTGAAGCAGGGACCCCCAAACCTGCCCCCGCTCCCCCCTCTCCTCCCACCGGGTTTAAGCAGATTTATCCTTAACCCATCCCCTCCCTTTATATACGCAGGGATGCTCCTGGAGCCCCTCAGAGGGATCCTCCCACCGGGAAGGGAAGGGAGGCCGCAGGTGAGTGGGGCAGGGGGATGTTGGGGTTCCCCCACCCCGGTACCCTGCAGGATGGGGTCGAGGGAGAAGGGTTTGGGAGTGTGGGTGATGCTGAACCCCCTGTGAGGGAGGGCACGTCCCATGGGGTGCAGCAGCCAGGACCAGCACAGCCCCATGCTCAGCGGGTGGGTGCATCCCGGGTGTATCCCAGTTACTGGGTGCATCCTAGGGGCATCCTCAGTGCATCCCAGTTACTGGGTGCATCCTAGGGGCATCCTCAGTGCATCCCAGTTACTGGATGCATCCTGGGGGCATCCTCAGTGCATCCCAGTTACTGGGTGCATCACAGTTACATCCCAGTTGCTGATGGTGGAAGCATCTTGGGTGCTGATGGCATCCTGGGGGTATCCTGGGTGCTCGGCCTATCCCGAGTGCTGGGTTTGTGCCGACTGCATCCCAAGTATTGGATGCACCTCTGACGGTGGGTGCATCCCTGTTACTGGGTACATCCCAGTTGCTGGGTGCATCTGGGTTGATGGGTGCATCCTGGTTGCTGGGTGCATCCCCGTTACTGGTTGCATCCCAGTTGCTGGGTGCATCCCTGATGGTGGGTGCATCCCAGTTACTGGGTGCATCCCAGTTGCTGGGTGCATCCCGGTTGCTGGGTGCATCCCGGTTGCTGGGTGCATCCTGGTTGCTGGCTGCATCCCAGTTGCTGGGTACATCCCCGTTTCTGGGTGCACCCCAGTTACTGGGTGCATCCCCGTTTCTGGGTGCATCCCGGTTGCCGGGAGCATCCCTGATGGTGGGTGAATCCCGGCTGCATCCCGGGTGCATACCGTGCTCGGGTGCTCCCCGCAGGCTGCAGGATGCAGCGGCTCTGCCCGTGCCCGGCGCTGCCCGGCTCCTGCTGGCTCCCAGGTGAGCACCCAGCGATGGGGGCTCCCCCCCTCCCCGAGCCCCCCGTTCCCTCCCTTCCCGCACCCCACCGTGGGGAGCGGCGGCCGGGGGGTGATGTCCCCGTGCCCCTGAGGGTGCCGGCTCCCCCGCAGCGCTCTCGTTGGCGTCGGGCCCCGGCTCCCGGCAGATCCAGCTCTGGCATTTCATCCTGGAGCTGCTGCACAAGGAGGAATTCCGCCACGTCATCGCCTGGCAGCAGGGCGAGGACGGGGAGTTCGTCATCAAGGACCCTGACGAGGTGGCCCGGCTCTGGGGGCGCAGGAAATGCAAACCCCAGATGAACTACGACAAACTGAGCCGGGCGCTGAGGTGAGCAGCGGCTTCCCGAGCTCTGGAAGCGGCCCAGGATGAGGCTCGGAGCACGCTGGGCTATGGAAGGAGTCCGTGGCTTTAGATGAGCTTTAAGGTCCCTTCCCCGCTGTGATCCCGTGGTTCCGCTCCATCCTCAGGTGGATGTGGGGCGCTGGGAGGGGGGGGGGGGGCAGAGCCTTCATCATCCCATGGGAGCATCCCGGGGTGCCCGTGTCCGTCCCCATAGGTACTACTACAACAAGCGCATCCTGCACAAGACCAAGGGCAAACGCTTCACCTACAAGTTCGACTTCAGCCACCTCCTCCTCCTCCGCTGCCCGCTGTGGGATGCCCGCAGCCTGTGCCGGCCGCCTGCAATGCCGAGCCAGGTACGGGATCCACGGACCCCTCTGGGCACCCAGCACCATCCCCCCTGCTGCCACATCCCCTTCTTGTGCCCGCAGTGGGGTTCAAACGCGCTGCGCAGCCGGCACTGGGGTCCCCAGCACCCCGATGCGCTGGGCAGGAGGGAGAGCACCCCTGGGAGCAGTGAGTGTGGGGCCAGCACCCGGCCATGGGCACCGGCTCTGGGTGCTGGATGCGGGCCGCGGGGCTTGGCGCAGGCAGGAGGGCGCTGCCTGCATCCTGCCCGCGGTTCCTGGTCCCACAGCAGCACCCAGTGGCTGTGCTGGGAGAGGATGGGGAGCCCCATTCCCGCTCTCCTGTTGCCCTCAGGATACAGCTCCGCGGCCCCCCCATACTTGGGGGGCTCCTGCTGCCGGTTTGGGGGCCCGGAGCTGCTGCCCTGCCTGGCTGCCTGCCCCCCCCCGCTGGGACCCCCAACCTGGGACCCCTTCCCCTCCTGCCCCCCAGCTCCGCTGCTGCCCCCCAAGCCGGGGGTCCCCACATCCCTGCTCCTGCACCCCCGTTTTCCCTATGGAACGGGGCTGGAGCGCCCAACCCGGCCAGGACAGGAGAGCAAAGAGGAGGAGGAAGGCGCCACCGCTGGGGTGAAGCTGGAGCTCCAGGGCACCAGCAGAACAGGGGTGCCCCCCATCTGACCCCCCCATCCTCACCCTGGGACCTGGCCCCATGGCTGAGCCCCCCATGAGGTGGGGGGGGACCCAGATCAGCCTTTGACCACAATAAACCCGTGTGCAGAGGGGTCTGGCTGCTCTCAACTGCACCCCAAAGCCACATCCTTGACCCCAACCCCACCTATGGGGGGCACCCCCAAAGAGCCCATCAGCCCCCCCGTGCAGCGTGAAGCAGGTTGGGGTCGGATTCGGGGCGCATGGATCCGGATCCCAGATTCCCAGCACAGGGCTCATTTTCATTTTCACTTCTCCGTGGTTTCTGCACTGGGAATTCTGCCAGGGCAGGAATGGGGGGGGGGGGGAAGGTCTTCTTTTAGGGGACCCCAATGGCTCAGGGGGTGGTGAGGGATTGGGGTCTCCTTGTGGGGTACCTGGGGCTGAGCTCACCCCTTTCCCTTTGGGACCTGATCCTCCCCAAATCCCTGCGGGGGTTCAGGCCTCCCGTTCCTGGTACAAGGGGTCCAGGGGGACCCCTATAACAGGGGGTCCGTGGGCCAGCCCATGGCGGAACAGGGAGCACAGTGCCAGGCTGGGGGGGGGGTTCTCCCCAAACACACGTCTATAGGTCCTTCCAGATGTGATCCCCAAACCCATGTCTATAGCTCACCCCAGATGTGATCCCAAACCCATGTCTATAGCTCACCCCAGATGTGATCCCCAAACCCATGTCTATAGCTCACTGCAGATGTGATCCCCAAACCCATGTCTATAGCCACTCCAGATGTGATCCCCAAACCCATGTCTATAGCTCACTGCAGATGTGATCCCCAAACCCATGTCTATAGCTCACTGCAGATGTGATCCCCAAACCCATGTCTATAGCTCACCCCAGATGTGATCCCCAAACCCATGTCTATAGCTCACTGCAGATGTGATCCCCAAACCCATGTCTATAGCTCACTCCAGATGTGATCCCCAAACCCATGTCTATAGCTCACTGCAGATGTGATCCCCAAACCCATGTCTATAGCTCACTGCAGATGTGATCCCCAAACCCATGTCTATAGCTCACCCCAGATGTGATCCCCAAACCCATGTCTATAGCTCACCCCAGATGTGATCCCCAAACCCATGTCTATAGCTCACTCCAGATGTGCTCCCTAAACCCATGTCTATAGCTCACCCCAGATGTGATCCCCAAACCCATGTCTATAGCTCACTGCAGATGTGGATCCCCAAACCCATGTCTATAGCTCACTGCAGATGTGATCCCCAAACCCATGTCTATAGCTCACTGCAGATGTGATCCCCAAACCCATGTCTATAGCTCACCCCAGATGTGATCCCCAAACCCATGTCTATAGCTCACTGCACCCACCCACATAGCTCACCCCAGATGTGATCCCCAAACCCATGTCTATAGCTCACTGCAGATGTGATCCCCAAACCCATGTCTATAGCTCACTGCAGATGTGATCCCCAAACCCATGTCTATAGCTCACTGCAGATGTGATCCCCAAACCCATGTCTATAGCTCACCCCAGATGTGATCCCCAAACCCATGTCTATAGCTCACTCCAGATGTGATCCCCAAACCCATGTCTATAGCTCACCCCAGATGTGATCCCCAAACCCATGTCTATAGCTCACCCCAGATGTGATCCCCAAACCCATGTCTATAGCTCACTCCATGTGATCCCCAAACCCATGTCTATAGCTCACTGCAGATGTGATCCCCAAACCCATGTCTATAGCTCACCCCAGATGTGATCCCCAAACCCATGTCTATAGCTCACTCCAGATGTGATCCCCAAACCCATGTCTATAGCTCACTCCAGATGTGATCCCCAAACCCATGTCTATAGCTCACTCCAGATGTGATCCCCAAACCCATGTCTATAGCTCACTCCAGATGTGATCCCCAAACCCATGTCTATAGCTCACTCCAGATGTGATCCCCAAACCCATGTCTATAGCTCACTCCAGATGTGGATCCCCAAACCCATGTCTATAGCTCACTCCAGATGTGATCCCCAAACCCATGTCTATAGCTCACTGCAGATGTGATCCCCAAACCCATGTCTATAGCTCACCCCAGATGTGATCCCCAAACCCATGTCTATAGCTCACCCCAGATGTGCTCCCCAATACTAACGCTGTCTCTATGTCTCCCCCAATGCCTCACTATCCCCATGCCCCCCCACTCCGCTCTCCCCATTCACTCTGTGCCCCCCCCCCCCCGGGTCTCCCCATGCTCCCCCAACCCCCTGCTGTCCCCATGGGTCCCCTTTATCCGGTCACCCCACAGACCCCCCACCCCCCGGGGCCTTCCCCCGCGCCTCCTCCCCCGCTCTCTCCCCGCCGGCGCTGCCCCCTCTCGGGCCGCGGGGGCCGGGCGAGCCCGGGGATTGGGAGCGGGCTTTAGGCCTCTCCCTCGGCCCGGCCCCCAGCGCCGCCGGGCGGGTCGGGGGGGGGGGGGCCCGCTCCGCCGCCGCCGCCGCCTCCTCCTCCTCCAGAGCGAGCGGGGCCGGGATCCGGGAGCGGAGCGGGGGCTCGGGCCCTGCCCCGAGGCCGCCCCCGCAGCGCCCGGCGATGGTGGCGGCCGGAGCGGGGCGGCGGCTCCCCGAGCCCTGAGCGCCGCGGGGCCGCGGGCGAGGCACCATGAGCGTGCGGCCTCCGCAGGCCCTCGACAGGTACGTGTGGGGCGGGGGGGGGGGGCAGCGGGGTTTGGGGTGAAACCGGGTGGGTTTGGGAGCGGGGAGGGCCCGCCCGCGGCCTTGGGGGGTCCCGGTGCCGCCAACCCCCCTCCGTTAAAGCGCTGCCCGAAGCCCCCCGTGCCCCAGCGGCAGGGCCGGGGCTGCTCCCGTGTTGGGACCGGGCACTCCCCGGCCCCGATCCCAGCGGGTTTAACCCCAGGCAGCAGCGAGGGGGTCTGGGCCCCGCCAGGGCTGGGATTGAAGGGCTCAAAGCCCATGGGATGTGCGCACCATTCCCTTGGGAATGGGAGATGAGGGTCCTGGAGCCTGGTCCCAGGGGCTTCCTGCAGTGTTTGGGAGCTGGGAACGGGTGCTTTGCTCCTCAGCACATCCCATTGGCATCCATGGCCCGGTGTCGGCGGCGGGCACGGGAGCAGGGATGCAAACCGGGGGGATAACCCCTGCATAAATCCCGTTTGGTTCGGGATGAGGCGAGGGATGGAGATGGGCTGGGAGCGTCCTGCTGCGGGCACGGAGCTTGCTCCCTCAGGAGCACGGGTTCCATCCATAGGGATGTGATGTCCGTTCCATAGGGATCATGGTGAGAAAGGTAGGGACAGGCCAAGGGGAATGGCTTTAACCTGCAGAGGGGACGTGGAGATGGGATCTTGGGAAGTTCTTCCCTGTGAGGGTGCTGGGACACTGGAATGGGTTGAATGGAGAAGCTGTGGCCGCCCCATCATGGGGCTTGGAGCCCGCTGCTCCAGTGGCAGGGGTCCCTGCCATGGCTTTAGATGGGCTTTAAGCATCCATTCCAACCCACTCCATGATCCCAAGACCCTATGATCCCTCCCATCCGTGCCCCTGGCCAAGAACAAGGGTTCCTGCTCACTTCCGGCTCAGGGCGCTGGGTGCTTTGGTGCTGAGTTGAGGATGCTCAGCGTGGGCTCCCTGCGGATGCTGCGGCTCCAGAAGGGGATTTGGTGCCTGGGAACGGGGTTGCTGCTGGGTTTCGCTGCCATCCCAGGCAGGGAAGCAGCGGGATTCACCCCGGGCAGCATTACCAGGCTTAAGTCTTCTCCCTGCTCTTTAAATAGCCGTGATCTCTGCTTTTTAAGGTCAGGAGCCTGCAGTGCCCCGGCTGGGCTGGGTGCCCAGGCCTCCTCAGCCACATAAAATGACTTAAAAAGGGTCAAAGTGTGGATTTCCCCCCAAAACCTGCTCCCAGCAGCCCCATCCTGCCCGCAGCACCAAGCAGACAGTGGTACCCAGGGCCCATGGATGTCCAGGCAGCATTATGGCTCCAGGCAGACCAGTGCTCACCAGTACAAGTGCAGCGCATCACTGGGGGCATCACCCATCAGGCTGCTGGATGTGGCTGGGCCATGGGTTTAGTCACCTCTAAAGGAGCCCATGGGAAGCATTCTGGGAGCAGCAATTCCCACTTGGAAAAGGTGTGAGCTGGGATGGGGTGGCTTTTGTTATAGGAGGAAGGTTGGGAAGAAAACATCCCTTGGGGGCAGGTTATTCCCTATCTCCGCGCCTGCCGCACAGCTCGCACCCCAAAGCGGTGCTGGCCAAACCAGATCTGCCAGTCTGTGCTCCAGGAGATGAGTGGCACCGTTAATGATTACACTGCCCGGCACTGGGATTGCTTGGGAAGGGCCTGGAGAGCTTGGGAAGGACCTGGAGATCCCGCAGTGTTCCCAGGAAACCACATAGTCCTTGGTGGTGGATTGGGATCCCGGCTCTGCTTTCCCTATGGGGCAGGGAGGGGATTTTGGTGGGAGGAAAGGGGGTTTGGAGCACTGCTGCTCTGGCCTCACGGCTGGTGGTGGTCCTGATGGATAACATCAATGGAGCAGGGCGTGCGTGGAGTGCTTGGCAAATGTTAGCTAATAGAGAAGCATGGGATCATGGAATGCTTTGGGTGGGAAGGGAGCTTAAAGCTCATCGAAAGCCATGGCAGGGACCCCTTCCACTGGAGCAGGATGCTCCAAGCCCCTGTGTCCAACCTGGCCTTGAGCACTGCCAGGGATGGGGCATCCAGAGCCTCAAGACACAGATCCCTGCTCACCCCTTCCTCCCTTCCTGTGCTCTTCCTCAGCTCTTGCTGGTCCCAGCGCTCCATCCCCATCCCTTTGGGTCTAATCCTGCTCCGGAGCTCCCGCAGCCTCCTCCGGGGTTGTTGGGGATGGCTCTGGGAGGGAGCAGGGTTCCCATGAGCCAGGCAGGCGTCACCACCGCGACACCCAACGGAGTCTGGGCTTTTCCTGCCCGTTGGGAATCAGCATCAGAATGTTGGGAATGGCGCCTGGAACGGGCAACGCTGCCGCGCTCCTTTGGCTTTCCCCGTTTAATTACAAGCCTTAATTTAAAGGGAGCTCCTGCAGGATCCTCTGTCTGCTGCCGGAGGGATCCTGGGATTCAAATCCACTTGGCCCTGGCGCCTACACGGGGCTTTGCATCTGATTTGCAAACTCAAGTTTGGCCCCGGCCGCCTCCCGAGGGCTGAGGCTTCACCAGGAGTTCCCCTGGGATAAAAGCAAGGAGAGGCCGAAGGGAAAAGCTCTGCTGCGGAATCCCAGACGGATCCAGGATGACTCCAGCCTCATGGATTCACATCTTGGCACTCACACAGAGCCACAGGGCGCTGCTGCAGAGCCACCGGGATCAGCACAGCCGGGATGGAGGCACCGGGCTCCTGATGCAGCACTGCACATCGGATGGGATCTGTTGGGAGTGGGAAACCTGTTGTGTGCTCCAGGGTGGGAAAAGAGGAGAGGAAAAGCGGATCTTGGGGCCTGAGGGTCAGTGCAGGCTGCCTGCAGCAGCCAGGAATGCCAGGAAGGGATATATCCCCCCTATCCTCATCCCAACAGCACCCAGCAAGGTTTAACTCTGCTTTGCCGCTCAAACTTCGAAGCACCCGCATCATTCCAAGCATCATTCCAAGCGACGGGGCTGCCCCAGCGCAGCAGCAGCGGGTGGCTTTGAGCCGGCATTCCCAGGGGACACAGAGCCCGTTCCCGGCGGGATGTGCGGGGCCATCCTCGGGAGATGCACGTCCCGGTTTTCCGCTGCGAGGCTGGAGCTGCTCCAGGCTGGACGCGTTCCCTGGGCCGCGGGAGGGGGCAGGGGAGGAAGCTGAATCATTTTGCTTTCTTTATTTATTTTTGAAGCTGAAATTCCTTCCTTCCTTCCTGTCCCCAGAATCCCAGTGTGTGGAATCGGCCACAAGGCTGTGGCCTGGGGAGAGAGCAGCCGGCTTTGGAGCGGGAGATGCCGGCTAATCCCGATGCGGGATCACCGGGCTGCGGTGGAAGCAGTGGCTCTGTTGCAGGAGGCATCCCACCACCACACTGATTCCCCTTTCCGTGTTGTGGGCTTTATCTTCCCATAGATATTCCCACTTTTCCCCTGCTGGTGGGCTGATGCTGTCCCCACCTGCATCCCTGCACGCTCCTAAAGGCAGCCGATTCCCAGGCATGCTCCGGTTTCCCTTCCCTGGAGCTGGGATCACAGGGAGCAGCCATTTGGAGACCTGGGAAGGAGAAGAGAATCAAGCTCCTGATGCTGGAGCAAAGCGCTTGGAGGGTACCCGCTCTGAGGATGCGATGCTCTTCTTCTCCTTCATCTTTGCCCTGTGTGATGCTCCCGATGGGGCAGCACCAGGGCTGTGCTTGTGATGGGTTCATTTCTCTCCTTGGTGTTCTTCTCTTCTGGCCTGGCTGGGGGCATCTTGCTCCTGGGGTGTGTTCCTGCAGAGTGAAGAGCTGTGATTTCACCAGAAGGAGCCAGAATTGGGAGTGATAAGCTCAGAGCAGGGCATAGGGGGGATCCTGCCCCTCTGCTGCGCTCTGTGAATGCACCCCCACCCCGCATCCTGCATCCAGCTCTGGGGCAGCAGCACCAGAGGGACGTGGAGCTGCTGGAGCGAGGCTATGGGGCTGCTGCGAGGGCTGGAGCAGCTCCCATAGGAGCCAGGCTGAGAGAGCTGGGCTGGGGCAGCCTGGAGAAGAGAAGGCTCCTGAAGGGGAGACCTGAGAGCAGCTCCAGTGCCTAAAGGGGCTGCAGGGAACCTGGAGAGGGGCTTGGGACAAGGGATGCAGGCACAGGGCAAGGGGAATGGCTTGAACCTGCCCGAGGGGAGACTGAGCTGAGCTCTTAGGCAGAAGCTCTTCCCTGTGAGGGTGCTGAGGCGCTGGCACAGGGTACCCAGAGAAGCTGTGGCTGCCCCATCCCTGGCAGTGCTCAAGGGCAGGTTGGACACAGGGGCTGGGAGCATCCTGCTCCAGTGGAAGGGGTCCCTGCCCATGGCTGCAGATGAGCTTTAAGGTCCCCTCCAACCCAGACCAGTCTGTGCATCTCTATAGCAGAAACCTCTGTGGGTTCCACTCAGAGCCTGGCCCCAGTGCTGGGGATGGGAGAATCCGGGGTGGCTGCAGAATTCCTCAGTTAGAACTTTTAGGACAACCCAAGGGGTGATCCTTAGGGCTGGAAACAGGCACCAGGGGCAGGGCTGCATCGGGCTGCCTGCCTTTGCTTCCCAGTGGCATGTTCGGGCTCTCCATAAGTCAATTAGGAAGCAGCTTATGCAAAGCCGAATTAAACTACTCTTTTAGACGGCAGTAAGCCAGCGCTGGCCCGGCTCCTTCCCACGGGATGGAAACACGGATCGGGGTTGGCATTTCCACTGGGGTGGCACTGGTGGCTCCTGGCTGGGCTGTTGGTCCTGGTACTGCTGGAGCTCCTAAGGAAGAGGCTTCATGAGCATCCCATGGTGTGGCAGCTTCTTAAGCCCTGGCATCCCATGCGGAAGGAGGAGCCGATGCTCCCTTGGCCTGGATCAGGCTGACCTGCCCCGAGCTGCCGGGTAATCCCATGGGGTTAATCCTGCACCCCCCCTTTGACTGACACAGGTGCCCTGGGCCCATCTTGGATTGCATTGAAACACAGGGAACTGGTCCCACTGCTGCCTGCAGCTCCTGGGAAAGCCCTTGGGATGCTTCAGCCCTTTCCCTGTCCCCGGTTCCCTTGTGCTGAGGTCCCACTTCAGCAAGTGAGGGCTGTGATGGAGGCAATGAGAGGTTGGACCGTAACGGTGGTGCAGGATTCGGGTTATCCAGGCAGCCTCCAGTGAGGTGTTTCCCAATACTCCTCTCCTGGAGCAGGGAAAGAGCTGCCTACAGGAGCGGGGCTGTTGGCTTTACCCCACTGCAGGCTCTGACTTATGGGGACCCTCCTGCTCGTCCCCTACAAACTGCTGCTCCGGGCTCCGTGGTCCTGCAGGGAAAGCAGGCTGGGGATGTTGCTGTAGGCAGGGGATGCTTCCCCAGCCTGCCCCCAGGCAGCCCTGCCCGTGGGGCGATGCCCTGGGCTGCACCATTGCCTCTTGATGTGTTTGTCTCCTCTTTCCACCCCTTCCCTTCCCTTCCCCGCTGCCCTCCGGGTGTCCCCTGTGCCACCCCTGTCCCTGTCCTGCGGGCAGCAAGCGGCAGCCTCGCGTGCCCAGGTAAGCGGGGTCGGGCTCGGGGGGCTCCTGCGCTCATCCTGCACCTCGCTTCATCGTGTGAGGCAGAGCCCGGCTGCTTCCCGATGGGAACACCTGCATTTCCTACCTCTTCCCGTTGCTTTCTGACCCGTCCAGGAGAGCTGGCGCTGGTTGGGTTGGGACAGCAGAGCCGGGATGTCATCCTTGGGGTGATGCTGGGAGCATGGAAAGGGAACACCTTCATTTCCTACCTCTTCCCGTTGCTTTCTGACCCGTCCAGGGGAGCTGGTGCTGGTTGGGTTGGGACAGCAGAGCCAGGATGTCATCCTTGGGGTGATGCTGGGAGCATGGAAAGGGAACACCTTCATTTCCTACCTCTTCCCATTGCTTTCTGACCCATCCAGGGGAGCTGGCGCTGGTTGGGTTGGGACAGCAGAGCCGGGATGTCATCCTTGGGGTGATGCTGGGAGCATGGAAAGGGAACACCTTCATTTCCTACCTCTTCCCATTGCTTTCTGACCCATCCAGGGGAGCTGGCGCTGGTTGGGTTGGGACAGCAGAGCCGGGATGTCATCCTTGGGGTGATGCTGGGAGCATGGAAAGGGAACGCCTTCATTTCCTACCTCTTCCCGTTGCTTTCTGACCCATCCAGGGGAGCTGGCGCTGGTTGGGTTGGGACAGCAGAGCCGGGATGTCATCCTTGGGGTGATGCTGGGAGCATGGAGTGGCACAGGGAAAGGGAACACCTGCATTTCCTACCTCTTCCCGTTGCTTTCTGACCCGTCCAGGGGAGCTGGTGCTGGTTGGGTTGGGACAGCAGAGCCGGGATGTCATCCTTGGGGTGATGCTGGGAGCATGGAGTGGCACAGGGAAAGGGAACACCTGCATTTCCTACCTCTTCCCATTGCTTTCTGACCCGTCCAGGGGAGCTGGCGCTGGTTGGGTTGGGAGAAGGAGCGACAGGACAGCAGAGCCGGGATGTCATCCTTGGGGTGATGCTGGGAGCATGGAAAGGGAGCCCCTCTCCTGTAACAGCAGCGAGGGGACGTGCGGTGCCCCTTGGATGCACAGAAATGAGCCCAGCATCCCGAGCCTCACTGCAGGGCTCAGGAGGCTCAGCGGGATGTCTGCTGTCTGCCTGTTGTCTGCCTGTTGTCTGCCTGTTGTCTGCCTGTGTCTGCCTGACCCATCCCTCACGCTGCTTCTCTGAGCCCGGTGGCTGAGCTCCATCCTGTCCATGCTGCATGGCACCTCCCTGCCCTCGCCTGTCACCTCCCCACTGGCAAACACAAGATTCCAGAGCCCTGGAGTCTCCTCTGGGGCTCCCTGTGGTGGGGAAGGGAGAGGAGCCTCTTCCCGGGACAGGCGATGGCAGGGACGTGCAGCACTCCCTGTGCCGGCTGCTGTCACCTTCCAGCTCTGCATTTCCTTCTCCCAAGCCCAAAGGAGCCGGGGATGGGGCTGGCTCCATCCGGATGTCCCTGTCCCTGATCCCTGCTCTTCCTCCCCAGGTTAAGCAGCCTGTCTTCCCTGGGTGACTCTTCCTCCGAGCGCAGGTCTCCGGGGCACCGCCGCCAGCCCTCCGACTCCTCCGAAACCACAGGTAGGTTCCCCGGTGCCTCCTGATGCTTCCCTTGTCCCTTTGGGGACCCTTCACGGTCACCCAGGACGGGCTGCAAGTGCATGGGGATCCCAATGGGGTTGGGAACGCTGCACCCCAGGGACTGAGGCTCTTGCCACCAGCACCCCAGGGCTCGGAGCAGGGACATCACAGAGGGAGGCTGGAGGTGAGGATGGCTCCACCGTGCCCCCGAGGCCTCAGGCTCACTGGTTCTGCTCCTGCTCCCATGCAGGCCTGGTCCAGCGCTGCGTCATCATCCAGAAGGACCAGCATGGCTTCGGCTTCACCGTCAGTGGGGACCGCGTCGTCCTGGTGCAGTCGGTGCGGCCAGGTGAGAGCCGCTGCGGCCCCGGGGCTCCCCTTGCCCCTTGTGGGTCCTTCCTAAGAGTTCCGGGCTCGGGGTCTCGCTGCAGCCTGGAAGCAGGGAATGGGTTGGGTGGGAAGGGAGCTTAAGGCTCATTCAGTTCATGGGCAGGGACACCTCTTGGAGCAGGTTCAAGCCATTCCCCTTGCCCTGTCCCTGCATCCCTTGTCCCAAGCCCCTCTCCAGGTTTCCTGGAGCCCCTTTAGGCACTGGAGCTGCTCTGAGGTCTCCCATTCCTGCAGCAGAGGGGGAGCATCCCCTCCATGACCTGCTGCTCACTTGGGATGGATCAGCCAGGATGGGCAGGACAGAGCAGACTGAGGGCGAGCTCCCCACATCCATGCCGCTCCCTGCACATCCCGGGAGCCGTGGCTGGGATGGGAATTCCCTTTGCAGCTCCCTGCTCCTGGCGTTGCTCTCTAATGGCTTTGCGGGGTGGCAGGGCTGGGAGCAGCAATTGAAACAGACAATGAGCTGCTTATTTTACAGCGGATGTTCCCACCTCCTCCCCCTTCCCCTCTCCAGCCCCAAAGCCAGGAAAAACGGGAATCTAGGAAAGGGAAAACGCTGAGTGCTTCCAGGGCAGGTTAACACTGCGGTGTCTCCGTTCGCATTGAGAGCCCCCCACATCACCCCCTGTCCTGGGTTCAGCAATAGCAGGGGCTCAGGTTGAGGGGACAGGGACCATGTCCGTGGTGCAGGACATCCCAGGGTCCTGTCCCCCCTTTCTCCACATTTGCCAATGAGGAGATGGTTGAAGCTGGAAGAATCCGAACAATCCAAGGCACTTTCCGCTGCTGTGGCTCAGGCCCTGGCTTGGGAGTTGAGCCTCATGGAAACATTTTCCTCTTGGTTTTGGCTGGAGGAAAAGTGGATTTTTTGTGTATTCCAACCTCGGAGCGTTGTTAAAGAGCAGGGGCAGAGGAGGCAGAGTGGAGCTGCCTTTGGATCCAGGCATGTGGATGTGTTGGAGCCAACCTGGATGGGGGGGTAACAGGTTGGGGCCCTGCCTTCCACCCCGAATCAGATGGGAAAGGCTGGGGGAGCAGAAGAGCTCGTCTGGATGAGCTGGGAGCATAAAGCACCCAAGGCTCCATCACCTTGTCCCATGGCTGTGTGCACCCATAGGTGCCTGCTGGCCCCCATGTCCCCACCCTGGCACAGGACGTGCTGAGAGGACCTGGGACCAGCAGGAGCGGGGCTGTGGGCTCTGTTTGCTGACTCCTGTCTCTGCTCCCTGTGTCACAGGGGGAGCAGCCATGAGGGCCGGGGTGCAAGAGGGGGACCGCATCGTCAAGGTGAGCATCTCCCCATTGCCACCCTGCCCATGGGGCCCTGTGCCCCCTGTCCCCAGCCTGCCTGAGCCCCGCTCTCCTCTCCCAGGTGAACGGCACCATGGTGACCAACAGCTCTCACCTCGAAGTGGTCAAGTTAATCAAGTGTGAGTACGGGCAGGGAGCTGGGGGGGGCACTTCCCACCCCAAGCCACCACATCAGAGGTGGCCTCACTGCTCATGGAGGTGCCCCATTACAGGGATGTGCCCGTCCTCTGCTGCCAGTGCCTATGGGGTGTCTCAGGTGCAGGGCCTGGGTCGGTCTCACCCTCCCTTCCCTGTTGTTGCAGCCGGTGCCTACGTCGCCCTGACCCTCCTGGGCTCCCCCCCTCCATCCGTGGGGCTCCCCAGTTCTCAGCAGGACGTGAGCACGGCCGGGGCTCCCCGTGTCCCCCCCGCCTGTCCCCCTCCGCCGCCTCCACCACCACCCCCTCTGCCGCAGCGCATCACCGACCCCAAACCCCTGCAGGTACCAACCCCTTCCATGCTCCCACTGCTCCATGTGCGGGGCAGGAGGAGGGCAAAGCCCAACGTGGCTCTTTGCATCCCTCCCACCGAGCAGGACCCCGAGGTCCAGAAGCACGCCACGCAGATTCTGCGCAACATGCTGCGGCAGGAGGAGGCAGAGCTGCAGGTACAGCACCGCATGGGGCTGCTTTGGTGCTGGGCTGGCTCCCCAGGCCCTGCAGCACAAGCTGGGCAAGCTGCAGCCCGCTGGGCCACCGGACCTGCCCCAGGTGGGCGGTGGGATGGGGTCTGGGGGGCTCTGTGAGTGTCGTGGTGCTGTCTCTTCACACAGCGCTTCTATGAGGCTTACAGCAGGAACCCGGCCACAGCAGTGGAGGAGCAGATCGAGGGAGCCCGGCGGAGGGTGAGCCAGCTCCAGCTGAAGATCCTGCAGGAGACCGGTGGCTCCATGGTAAGGGACATCAATGGGGGTCCTCCCGGCTCCCTCTGAGCCTGGTTGGAGCACGGGGAGGCCCTTGCAAGGTGATGGGCACAGCTCTGGAGGCTGCTGTGGGGTGGGAGCTGCTGCAAGGTGATGGGCACAGCTCTGGAAGCTGCTGTGGGGTGGGAGCTGCTGCACTGGCACATCATGGGCAGGGGTTATCCCGCTGGTCCAGCACAGCTCCTCCCATTGCAGGATCCGGGACGGCTCTGCAGTGACTCTGGCTTGGCTGCTTTCAAGGTGGTGGAAGGTGAGTTGTGGTGCTGCCTCCCACCATCCCCATGTCCCCGGCTCCTCAACTCACGGCTCAGTCTCTCCTCTGCTTCCAGGACGCCTCTCCCTGGACTCACAGGATGGGGACAGCGGGTTGGAGTCCGGGACAGAGCGATTCCCATCCGTGAGCGAGGTGAGAGCCATGGGAATGCTGCATCCCCAAGGCTTGGAGCAAGCTGCTCCAGTGGAAGGGGTCCCTGCCCTTGGCAGGGGGTTGGAACTGGATGAGCTTTAAGATCCCTTCCAACCCAAGCCATTCCATGATTCCATCCCATGACTCTCCTGGAAGCACTGGTGGCTCTGTGCATCTGCAGGTCTCAGGGTCCTGCCTTTCCCATCACAGGGATCAGTTGTCACCTGAACAAACTGACTTGAGTAGCGCTCTCTGTATTCCTTGCCCTTGGAATGCTTCCCCTGCTCTGGTTGCCCCCCAAGTGAAGGCTGCCCCAAACCTTCCTGTGGTCCTCATTTAAAGCCTCTCTGATGGCCCCTGGGGGGTTTGGTGGGTCGGGGGTCCCGGGGCCTGTCCCCTTCATGCTGCCCCACGGCCCCTGACTCCGGTCACCCCGAGCAGGTCTCCCTGAACCGCAACTCGGTGCTGTCCGACCACGGCCTCGACAGCCCCAGGACATCCCCGGTCATCACGGCCCGGCTCTTCCAGCACCACCGGCGCCAGGGCTCCGACACCCCCGGCACCCCCCTGCCCGAGCAGGTGGGTTGGGAACAACCTGGGGCTCCCACAGTGGCTGCTGGACCCGACCAGACCTGGTCCGAGGCTCCCATGGGTGCTGCAGGGAGGGTGAAGGTGCCCCCCCGGTGCTGGGTGCCTGGCTCCTGACTCTGGCCCCTGTCCCTGGCAGGGCTTGGACCGCACGGGACGACCCCTGATCATCGGGCCAGAGGAGGATTGTGACCCCGGGTACTTCAATAACGAGGTAATGGTGCCCAGAGCTTGCTTTTGGGGGGCTTTGTCCCTCTCCTTGGGGGACAGCGCTGTCACCATCGCACATGGGGCCTGTTTTGGTGGCATTTAGAAACCCTCCATCCAAGCTGGTCTGAAGGAGGAGGGTGCTTGGGTGGGAAGCAGGAGCTGGGGTTCACCCCGGTGCTGAGCTGTGGGCCGGGCTCCTTTCCTTCCTGACTGGCTCTGTCTCCTCTGCTCCCAGTGCGACTCCCTCTTCCAGGACCTGGGCAAGCTCAAATCCCGGCCGGCGCACCTGGGGGTCTTCCTGCGCTACATCTTCTCCCAGGCAGACCCCAGCCCCCTGGTAAGGGACCCACCAGTGCCACTGAGCAGGGCAGGGGGGAGATGGAGCCGTGTGTTTGGCACCGTCCACTCCTTCATGGAATCATGGAATGGGTTGGGTTGGAAGGGACCTGAAAGCTCCTCCAGCCACTGCCATGGGCAGGGAGCCCTTCCACTGGAGCAGGATGCTCCAAGCCCCTGTGTCCAACCTGGCCTTGAGCACTGCCAGGGATGGGGCAGCCACAGCTTCTCCATTCAACCCATTCCAGTGTCCCAGCACCCTCACAGGGAAGAACTTCCCAACATCCACCCTAAATCCCCCCTGTTCCAGTCTGAACCCATCACCCCTTGTCCGGTCGCTCCAGTCCCTGATGAAGGCCCCTCTCCAGCATCCTTGCAGCCCCCTTCAGACACTGGAAGCTGCTCTGAGCTCTCCACAGCTTCTCTTCTCCAGGCTGAGCAGCCCCAATGTTCCCAGCCTGGCTCCTATGGGAGCTGCTCCAGCCCCTGCTCATCCTCTGCCTCCTCTGCACTTGCTCCAACAGCTCCATGTCCTTATGCTGAGGACACCAGAGCTGCACCCAGTGCTGCAGGGGGGTCTCCCAGAGCAGAGCAGAGCAGAGGGGCAGGATCCCCTCCCTGCCCTGCTGCTCACCTCCTGCTGATGCCGCCCAGCACAGGGGGGTTTGGGGCTGCTTTCCTCACTGGGGAGCTCTGGTGGCTCCGGGCACTGCTCCCTGCACCCTCCTGGTCTCTGCTGCCTGCTGCAGGCTGCTGCCAGCCCGTGCTCCCCACCCACAGAGGGAAGCCCAGCGCTCCCTCCCCTTCCTCCAGGCGTGGCACAGGGGTGCTGCCCTCCCAGACCCCACAGCGTTTCCTGTGGCATGGCTCAGCCCTGAGCCTTCCTCCTCCCCACTTCCCACCTCTCCCCCTCCGCTGCCCCCCTCAGCTCTCCCCTCCTTGCAGCTCTTCTACTTGTGCACCGACGTTTGCCAGCAGACCACAGGCAAGGACTGCCGGGGCTTGGGGAAGGACATCTGGAACATCTTCTTGGACAGGAGCGCGGTAAGGGCAGGGCTGAGCCGGGAGCCAGCACAGGAGTCCTTGGCCCTGCTGGGGACCCATCGCGGCCCTTGCACTGGGGTGCTTTCAGGGCTGGTTTGCCACTGGCACCGCTTTGCTGCTGCTGGTTCCTCTGGGTCGGGGCAGGCGGTTGCAGCAGGCGTTGCACAACTGGGGCAGCACTGGAGAGGGGGGCCCTGCGGGGGAGCGGGGCTCCAGGCGCTCCTCGTCGTGCTCCTTCGTTGGAGGGAGGAGGATCCCATTGTGCTGCTGCACGTGGGGATGGATTGGGTGCTGGGTGCTGGGATGAGTGCTGGGTGCTGGGATGAGTGCTGGGATGCGCTGGGTGCTCGGATAAGTGCTGGGATGCGCTGGGTGCTGGGATGAGTGCTGGGATGTGTTGGGTGCTGGGATACGCTGGATGCTGGGATGAGCACTGGGTGCTGGGATGTGTTGGGTGCTGGGATACGCTGGGTGCTGGGATACGCTGGGTGCTGGGATGAGCACTGGGTGCTGGGATGAGTGCTGGGATGCACTGGGTGCTGGGATGAGCACTGGGTGCTGTGATGAGCGCTGGGTGCTCGCTGTGGGAGATGCCCAGCTCCCCCCTCTCTGCTGCAGAGCTCGCCATGGGGTGATGGTGCAGGGGCACAGGGCACCCTCCCCACCCTGCCCCGAGGGTGCCCCCAGCCCTGCACTGGAAGGGGAGCCGGGTGCTGAGCTCCTCTTGTGCCTTCCCTCCGCAGCCTCTCCGGGTCAAGGTGGCCGAGCAGCTCCTGGCTGAGATCGGTGAGTGAGCGGCCCCGCCGGCCCCTTCCCCTCCCAGGGGCTCTTCATTGGGATGCAGGTCCAGATCCCAAAGGATTTCTGCAGCACTTGGCCCCTGCCAAGGTTTGGGAATGGGGCTCTTGAGCTCTTCCCAGGGCTCCTGTTACAGGCAGTGTCTCAGTCTGGGTGTGTGAACTGGAAACCAGTTAGCAAGGGGCTGGGCTCTGCAGGGAGAGGCTCCGTGGTCTCCCTTTTGCCCCGCTCTGCCCAAGGGCCTGAGGCTTCCAGAATCCTGCAATCCTGGTGTGGATGGGGTTGAAGGGACCTTAAAGCTCATCCAATCCCAACCCCTGCCATGGGCAGCGACACCTCCCATAGGAGCAGCTTGCTCCAAGCCCCATCCAGAAGATCCCCTGTGCCCTTCCTTGCCTGCTGTGACCCTGCTGCTCCTCTCCCATCCCAGAGACCCGGCTGCGGAATGGGGATGACGTCCGAGCCGCCCTCTTTGAAGCCCAGGAGATGGTGATGCCCGAGATCCAGGAGCAGATCCAGGACTACCGGTGGGTGCAGCAGCCCAGGAGCTCAATGGGCTCCTGCCCGTGCCAGTGGCCACTGCCTGGGCTCATGGCCTTGCCCCTGACCCCCACAGAACCAAGCGCACCATGGGCCTGGGCAGTCTCTATGGGGAGAACGACCTCCTGGACCTGGATGGGGACCCCCAGAAGGAGCGGCAAGTGGCCGAGAAGCAGCTGGCCCAGTTGGGTGACATCCTGTGAGTGCTGGTGCCACCCTGCCCTGTGCATTGGGAAGCATCTCTCCGCTCGGATGCGGGGCAAGGGCATTGGGAAGGGGCTTGGCTCTGCTCCTTGATCCTGCCCCATCCCCACTGCTGCCATGGGAGAGGTGGGAAGGAGAGTTTGGAGCAGGGGCAGTGAGGGGTGGAGGGCACCCAGGAGAGGAGCCTGTTCCTAGCAAGCTCGTTCATCCCTCCCCTCCTCTCTTTCCAGGTCCAAGTATGAAGAGGACAGGAGGTGAGTGGCCCCAGGGCACAGCGGGAGCGCATCCAGATGTGGCTGCCTTAGAGCTCATAGCTGGGGAGGCAAAAGGAGTCACAGGAGCATCCTCTTCCCATGGCAGGCGTATCCCTGTGGGCTCCTGGGTGGCCCTGGGGAAGGGTGGACACTGACCTCAGGGTCCCAGGGTGCTGGGTGCAGCCCCAGCTCACCCTCCTGAGCTCTTATTGCCTTTCCTCCTTTCTCCTTTGCCCTGCATCCCTTGGGCATCCTCTCCTGCCTGGAATGGACCCTCTCTGCCCCCAGAGTCCCATGGGACATCCCAGCCTCCCCCAGTGCCTCCCAGAGCTGGATCTCCAGCCTCACGCTCTGCTCTCTTGCAGCTCCCCCATGGCCTTCGCCCTCAGCACCTACATGAACCACGCAGGCATCCGCAGCCGCGAGCCCCGGGCAGCCGGCGCCAGCGAGAAGGCCCCGTCCCTCCCGGACAGGGACAAGTGGCTCCCGTTCTTCCCCAAGGCCAAGAAGGTGGGAGGCTGCTGGGGCATGGAACCATGGAATGGGTTGGGGTGAAGGGACCTGAAAGCTCATCTAAAACCACAGGCAGGGACCCCTTCCACTGGAGCAGGATGCTCCAAGCCCCTGTGTCCAACCTGGCCTTGAGCACTGCCAGGGATGGGGCAGCCACAGCTTCTCCATTCAACCCATTCCAGTGTCCCAAAACTCTCACAGGGAAGAACTTCCCTATATCCAACCTAAATCCCCCCTGTTCCAGTCTGAACCCATCACCCCTTGTCCGGTCGCTCCAGTCCCTGATGAAGGCCCCTCTCCAGCATCCTTGCAGCCCCCTTCAGACACTGGAAGCTGCTCTGAGCTCTCCACAGCTTCTCTTCTCCAGGCTGAGCAGCCCCAATGTTCTCAGCCTGGCTCCTATGGGAGCTGCTCCAGCCCCTGCTCATCCTCGTGGCCTCCTCTGCACTTGCTCCAACAGCTCCATGTCCTTATGCTGAGGACACCAGAGCTGCACCCAGTGCTGCAGGGGGGAAACTTCTGCAGCAGCCCAGGGAGCAGCCCTCCAGGGATCCACTTGTCCCCCTGTGTCTCAGCTGCTTAATACCAGAGCCAGATCCCAGCCCCATCCTTTCCCAAGTGGTTCCAGCATGGCCAAGGCTGGGGACGCCCTTGGTGCCCCCCATGGTGTTTACCAGTGTCCCTCTGGGCTGTCCCAGCAGAGCAGCAGCACGAAGAAGGACAAGGATGCCATGGAGGACAAGAAGCGCAACCCCATCCTCAAGTACATTGGGAAGCCCAAAATCAGCTCCCAGAGCAGTGAGTACTGGGGGCTCCTGGGGTGCTGCACCCACAGCTCCTCGGCTGCCTGGGGGAGCAGCAGCGTGCCCAGGGCCCATTGGAACCTCTCTCAACCCTCTGTGCTCCCACATGGCTCTGAGGGAGAGGGAAGGGAGCGGAACAGAGCTCTCCCCATAGATTTATAGGTTAGGGGCTGCTGACAGCATCTTAAAAGGGCCACAGCTCCCAGGGGTTGAGGTAGCATCAGTGAGCGTGGACTCATGGAATCAATCTGGTTTAAGCTCATCAAGCCCAACTGTTCTGCACCACTACCAAGGCCACCACTAAGCCATGGCACTGAGGGGCTCATCTGTGGTCCCATGGAGAGCAACCATGTGCCTGTGTGTGTGTGTGTGCACACGTGTGTGCCCCCATTCCTCCTCCTCCCCTTCTGCTTTCAGTTCTCATGCACTGCCTCACCCATCCCCTCTTTGCCTCCTCCGTTGCCAAGGTGCAGGGTTGAGTTGACATCTCATTTTTGTTTTTCCCTTCCAGCATTTCATGTCCCTTTGTCCCCTGTTGAAGGTAAAAGGCCTCTTCTTTCGTTTGCCCTTCACCTCATGTGCTTAGTTTTCTTTTATGCCCCCCCATCCCCGAGCTACCCCAGTGTTGTTGCACCGGGTGTTGGGTGGGCTCAGGGTCTGGGCTGAGCATCAGCATCCCTGCTGCCTGCTCACCCCATCTCCCCATGGAGCCTGGGATGCCCTCAGTGATGCTCACCAGTGCTTGGCCACGGGGTGGGCAGCAGCACCAGCATCTCCTCCCGGCCCCCCCTCACTGCTCTCCCCTCCTTGCTCTGGTGCCAGCAGTCAAACCCGGCAATGTGAGGAACATCATCCAGCACTTTGAGAACAACCAGCACTGCGAGAGCCAGGAGCCCGGCTCCCAGCGCCTCTCCACCGGCAGCTTCCCCGAGGACCTGCTCGAGTCGGACAGGTGGGACATGGGCACAGTGGGGAGCAGCTTGGGGGTCCCACAGTGGGTTTGCAGGGATGCCCCTGCTTGTTCTGCCCTTAGAATCATGGAGTTGGGTTGGAAGGGACTTAAAGCTCCTCCAGCTCCACACGGGGACCCCTTCCACTGGAGCAGCTTGCTCCAAGGCCCTGTGTCCAACCTGGCTTTGACCAGGGATGGGACAGCCACAACCTCCTTGGGCTCTGTCTCCCCCTGCAGCTCCCGTGCTGAGGTCAAGCTGGGCCGCTCCGAGAGCTTGAAAGGTCGGGAAGAGATGAAGAAATCCCGGAAGGTGGAAAACGTTCCCCGGTCCCGCAGCGACGTGGACATGGATGCGGCGGCCGAGGCCACCAGGCTCCACCAGTCAGCATCATCCTCTGCTTCCAGCTTGTCCACGAGGTGGGAGGCACCAGCCAAGCCCCCAGGAAGGGCAGAGCTGGGGTCCTATGGAGGTATTGGCTTCAAAGGGGAGCTGGGATGGGCAGGACTTGCAAAGCTGAACCCCTTGGGTCAAGGCCAGGCCCGGCCGTGCAGTGGGATGTGCCTGGCCCTGGATGAGGTTTTCCAGGGTAAAGCAGAGTGAATTGGGCTTCAATTCCCATTTGTATCCCAAACCCCTCTCGCAGCGGTGGCGCCAGCCCCGGATGCATCAGGCCTTAGGGAAGCGGTGCTGGGTGCTGCCCCATGGGTAGGAGAGGGGCTGGGATGCTGGGACACGAGGGTGACTTCTCCCAATGCCTCCCCAGGTCGCTGGAGAACCCGACCCCTCCGTACACGCCGAAGATGGGGCGCAGGTGAGTGGCCCAGCCTTGCTCTCGGTGTCTGTACCGCGCTGGGGCCCCTTTCCTTCAGAGCAGGAGGTCACTGTAGGGGAGTGCTGGGGCTGTGCCCCCACTTTGGGGCTCCCAAAAGAGGGTCTCCTCTGTCCCTTCCTAGCTTGGCCCTGCCCATCAGCGAGCCTTGACAGAGCACAAGGGGAGGCAGTGCCCTAGGGGGAGTCCCCCCTTAGTTCTCCATCCTCCTGGGGCGAGGGGGCAGCTCTGTTCCCTTGTGTCTCACGCAGGAGCTAAAAGGACCTATGTAGATGTCTGCTGGGGGACCTAGTCTGTTAGCTCAAGAGTCAGAGGCTCTGTACTTCTTGTGCTGAAGGCCCCGGGTTCAAGCCCAAATAGGGCCCAGGTAGATATTGGCTGTGCTGGGAGCTGCGGGGTTGGGCTGCCTGGATGCGGGTGGCTGCAGAGGACTCCCACCGCCGCCTTTCCCCCCCCCAGGAGCATTGAATCCCCCAACCTGGGCTTCGGCGTGGATCCCTTCCTGCCTCACCTCCTGGAGGACGAGCAGGGGCAGCTCTCGGACCTGGAGCCCGAGCTGGACACCCAGAACTGGCAGCACTCGGTCAGCAGGGAGCTGGTGGCCAACCTGCCCCAGAAGGAGATCGACCGGCAAGAGGTCATCAATGGTAAGGAGGCGCCGGGCACCCTAGGGGCATGAGGGGCACCCGAGGGGCATGAGGGGCACCCGAGGGACATGAGGGGCACCCCAGGGACATGAGGGGCACCATAGGGACACGAGGGGCACTCTAGGGACATGAGGGGTACCATAGGGACATGAGGGCACTATAGGGACACAAAGGGCACCTTGGGGACACGAGGGGCACCCCAGTGACACAAGGGGCACCCCGGGGACATGAGGGGCACCCCGGGGACACGAGGGACACCCTGGGGACACGAAGGGCACCGTAGGGACACGAGGGACACCCCAGAGACAAGAGGGGCACCCCAGGGACACGAGGGGCACCCTAAGGACACGAGGGGCACCCCAGTGACATGAGGAGCACCCCGGGGACACGAGGGGCACCCTAGGGACACAAAGGGCACCTTAGGGACACGAGGGGCACCCCAGGGACACGAGGGGCACCCCAGGGACACGAGGGGCACCCTGGGGACACGAGGGGCACCCTAGGGACACGAGGGGCACCGTAGGGACACGAGGGGCACCCCAGGGACACCAGGAGCACCATAGGGACACGAGGGGCACCTTGGGGACACGAGGGGCACCTTGGGGACACGAGGGGCACCCTAGGGACACGAGGGGCACCCCAGGGACACGAGAGGGACCTTGGGGACACGAGGGGCACCTTGGGGACACGAGGGGCACCGTAGGGACACAAGGGGCACCGTAGGGACACAAGGGGCACCCTAGGGACACGAGGGGCACCCTAGGGACACAAGGGGCACCATAGGGACACGAGGGGCACCATAGGGACACGAGGGGCACCATAGGGACACAAGGGGCACCCCAGGGACACGAGGGGCACCCTAGGGACACGAGGGGCACCATAGGGACACGAGGGGCACCATAGGGACACAAGGGGCACCATAGGGACACAAGGGGCACCCTAGGGACACGAGGGGCACCTTGGGGACACGAGGGGCACCCTAGGGACACGAGGGGCACCTAGGGGACACGAGGGGCACCCCAGGGACACCAGGAGCACCATAGGGACACGAGGGGCACCTTGGGGACACGAGGGGCACCCCAGGGACACCAGGAGCACCATAGGGACACGAGGGGCACCCTGGGGACACGAGGGGCACCGTAGGGACACAAGGGGCACCATAGGGACACGAGGGGCACCTTAGGGACACAAGGGGCACCCTAGGGACACAAGGGGCACCCTAGGGACACAAGGGGCACCATAGGGACACGAGGGGCACCATAGGGACACGAGGGGCACCTTGGGGACATGAGGGTCCCTTCTCCACCCCTGTGCCTTCCGCGCAGAGCTCTTTGCCACCGAAGGCTCTCACCTCCGCATCCTCCGGGTCCTCGACCTCCTCTTCTACCAGCGGCTGAAGAAGGAGAGCCTGCTGTCCCGGGAGGAGCTGGCGCTGCTCTTCCCCAACCTCCCTGACCTGATAGAGATCCACAGTAAGCCCCTTCCCATTGGGTTGTGCTGGGAGCATCCCCTCTGCGGTGGGAGCAGAGCATTCCAGAGCAGCCCTGCTGATAGCATGGCATCATCACTGCTCCAGTCTTCCCATTCCCTCTACTGGGAGCAATCCAGAGCCTGCTTTTCCCAGGCTGTGCCAATGCCTGTGTCTGGGATGCCTGGGCAGCACCAGCCCTTGCTGTAGCCCTTCCAGGACCTGCTTTTGGTGTCCCACTCCCTGACACTGAAGCCCATCAGGCTCTCAGCTCCTCCTGCCCGTGGCCAAGAGCTGGCAGGGACCCTGTGGGGCAGGCAGCTCATGGGGGGGCTCACACTGGTGGCCCTGGCCCCTTGTTCATGGGAGTCCTGTCTATCCCCTATCCCCCTGCAGATTCTCTCTCTGAATCCATGAAGAAGCTCCGGGAAGAAGGACCAATCATCAAGGAAATCGGGGATCTCATGCTGTCTCGGGTGAGGGGCGCAGGGCCCTCTAGCATCAAGGGGGTGTCCTCTCTAAGGGAGGTGGAGGTGACCCCACGCTGTCCCCTGGCTGTGCTTGGAGCTGAGGGCCAAGCCTGGGGGAGCCTGAGCCCCGTTTTCCCCTATCCCCCCCCCAGTTCGACGGCCTGGCCAAAGAGGAGATCCAGCAGGTCGCTGCTGACTTCTGCTCCTACCAATCCATTGCCCTTGAGCTCATCAAAACCAAGCAGCGCAAGGAGACCCGCTTCCAGCTCTTCATGCAGGTTGGCCCTTGTCCTGGTGCTCCCCTGGCACCCCATGATCCCCCCTCAAGGCTTCCACCCTCTTCCCTCCACCGCAGGAAGCAGAAAGCAACCCCCAGTGCCGGCGCCTGCAGCTCAAGGACTTGATCATCTCGGAGATGCAGCGCCTGACCAAGTACCCGCTGCTGCTGGAGAACATCCTCAAGCACACCGAGGGTAGGGGATGGGGGCACTGGGGGTGGCCCCCACGCTGCTCGGCTCCGTGCTCCCATCTCCAGCCCACCCTGCCCATCCTCAGGCTCTCCCACGAGGCTCCTGCCTCTCTGTTGCCATCCAAAGGGTGGTGGGGAGGGACCTGGGGCCTTCCCAGCTGGAAGAGCCAAGCCGGGGGAGTGCTGGGGGTGGGAAACATCCCCCTCTTCTCCCTATGGAGCTGTGGGTTGGCAGCATTCAGTGCCTGGGATGCTGGTGGGAGCCGTGGCAGCAGGATGGGGCCAGCGCCATGGCTGGGGGGGTGCTGAGCCCCTGTCCCCGCTGTGTGCCATGGCAGTGGGCACCTCGGAGCACGAGAAGCTGTGCCGAGCGCGGGACCAGTGCCGGGACATCCTGCGGCACGTGAACGAGGCCGTGAAGCGAGCCGAGAACCGGCACCGCCTGGAGGGCTACCAGAAGCGCCTGGATGCCACCTCCCTGGAGAGGACCAGCAACCCCCTGGCTGCTGAGTTCAAGGTACCCCCAGGTCCCTGCAGCACCCAGGGGGCTCTGGGAGGGGGGGGGCCGCACATCCCAGCCCATGCTCAGCTCCTGCTGTGGCTTCCCACAGAGCCTGGACCTCACCTCCCGGCGCATGATCCATGAGGGGCCGCTCAGCTGGCGCGTCAGCAAGGACAAGACTGTGGGTATGGAGGGCGTTCCATGGGGCTCTGAGCGCAGGTCCGGGGTACTCGGTGGGAGAGGGAGGTGGAGCTGATGGAGCAAGTGCAGAGGAGGCCACGAGGATGAGCAGGGGCTGGAGCAGCTCCCATAGGAGCCAGGCTGAGAACACTGGGGCTGCTCAGCCTGGAGAAGAGAAGCTGTGGAGAGCTCAGAGCAGCTTCCAGTGTCTGAAGGGGGCTGCAGGGATGCTGGAGAGGGGCCTTCATCAGGGACTGCAAGGGGTGATGGGTTCAGACTGGAACAGGAATTTAGGGTGGATATCAGAAGTTCTTCCCTGTGAGGGTGCTGGGACACTGGAATGGGTTGAATGGAGAAGCTGTGGCTGCCCCATCCTTGGCAGTGTTTGATCTTTAAGGTCCTTTCCAACCCAAACCTTTCCCTGATTCTATGGACCTTCCCCATCACCCGGTACCAGCAGCTCCTGCATCCTCAGATCCCCCAGGACATGGGCACTTCACCTCCAGCCCGGCAGCATTACAGGGACTCCCTTAGCCCCCCTTAGCTATGGGGCCATCATCCCTCTTGGCCACAAGGCAGGAGGTTCCCTGGTTGAGTCCCATCTCCTCTCCCACCCCAGACCTGCACGTGCTGCTCCTCGAGGACCTCTTGGTGCTGCTGCAGAAACAGGATGAGAAGCTGGTGCTCAAGTGCCACAGCAAGACAGCGCTGGGCTCCTCGGACAACAAGCAGACCTTCAGCCCCGTCCTCAAGCTCAACTCAGTGCTCATCCGCTCCGTGGCCACAGGTCAGAGCAAGGGGAAGGCAATGGGGACCCTGTGTCCTGTGACCCTGTGGGTCGGGGTGAAGCCCGTGCTCGTTCTGACCTTCCTCATCGTGCAGATAAACGAGCCCTCTTCATCATCTGCACCTCGGAGCTGGGCCCCCAGATCTATGAGCTGGTGGCACTGACGTCCTCCGAGAAGAACACGTAAGGAGCGTGGGGATGGGGATGGGGATGGGGGGGGATGGGGACAGACGGGGATGGGGATGGGGACGGGGATGAGGATGGGGATGGGGACGGGGAGGGGGATGGGGATGGGGATGGGGATGGGGACGGGGACGGGGACGGGGACGGGGACGGGGATGGGGATGGGGATGGGGATGGGGATAGGGATGGGGAATGGGGATGGGGAGAGGGATGGGGATGGGGATGGGGATAGGGATACGGATGGGGATGGGGATGGGGACGGGGATGGGGATGGGGATGGGGATGGGGACGGGGATGGGGATGGGGATGGGGATGGGGATGGGGGCCCGGACCCCGGGGGAGCTGACAGGGTCTCTGGCCCCTGCAGGTGGATGGAGCTGCTGGAGGAGGCGGTGCAGAGCGCCACCAGGAACGCCACCTTCCCCCCCAAGCGCCGCACACCGGAGCCTGCCCGTGCTGCAGCCTCAGGGTGAGCATCCCGGTGCCGTGCTCTGGGCATGGGGGGGGTGAGGAGGGGGGGTGCGATGGGCACCGGGCTCCCACCTGCTCATGGGGGGGGGCTCCAGTGGTGGCAGCCCCCAGCTCCTCCTCTCTCCTAATGCGCCGTCTCCATCCTCATCCTCGCAGCCTGGTGCTGCAGGACCCCGACGTCTCCCCCATGCTGGCCCGAGGCTCTGGAGCAGAGGCAGGGGATTGCTGCTCAGGTGAGAGCTGCCCCAGCCCTGCTGCTCCCGGGGAGGCAGGACGTGGGTCTCACCTCTCCCCTGCTCCTGCAGCAGAGCTCAGTGCCCCCGCGCTGCTGGGCAGGGGGAAGCCCCCCGAGGAGCCGCTGAGCAGCGAGGTGGAGGAAGGGGAGGAGGAGCTGCCCGCAGCCCCCCTGCCCACAGGGGCTGCTGTGGGGGTGCCTGACCCCCACCCCGCCGAGCAGCTGGGGCCCCCCATGTGTCTGCTGCTCCCGGGGCCTGGCAGTGCAGAGGGGCTGGCAGAGGCGGCGCTGGAGGATGGTGAGTGCCGTGGAGAGCCCCTCTCCTTCTCTTCCTCCTTCTCTTCCTCCTCCTTCTCGTTCTTCTCTTCCTCCTCTTCCTCCTTTTTTCCTCCTCCTTCTCCTTCTCTTCCTCCTTTTCTTCCTCCTTCCCCTCCTTTCCTCTTTCTCTTCCTCTTTCTCCTCTTCCTCTTTCTCCTTGTCTTCTTCCTCTCATCTCCTTCCCCTCCTTCTCTTCCTGCTTCTCCTCTCCTTCTCCGCCTTACTTCTTTTCTTCCTCTTTCTCCTTCTCTTCCTCCTCCTCGTCTTCTCCTCCTTCTTCTCTTCCTGCTTCTCCTTCTGTCCTTGTCCTCCTTTCCTCCTCTCCTTTCCTTTCTCTTCCTCCTTCTCCTCCTCCTCTTCCTTCTTCTCTCCTCCTTTCCTCCTCCTTCTCCTTTCCTCCTTCTCCTCTCCTTCTCTTCTTCCTTCTCCTTCTTTTCCTCCTTCTCCTCCACTCCTTCTCCTTCTTTCCTTCTCTTTTCCACCTTCTCCTCTCCTTCCTCTCCTCCTTTCCTCCTCCTTTCCTCCTTCTTCTCCTCCTTCTCTTTTTCCTTCTCTTTTTCCTTCTTCTCTTCCTCCTCCTTCTACTTATTTTCCTCCTTCCCCTCCACTCCTTCTCCTTGCCTTCTCTTTCTCTTCCGCCTTCTTCTCCTTCTTTTCCTCTTTCCCCTCCTTTCCTCTTTCTCTTCCTCTTTCTCCTCTTCCTCTTTCTCCTTGTCTTCTTCCTTCTCATCTCCTTCTCCTCCTCCTCTTCCTGCTTCTCCTCCTCTCCTTTTCCTCCTCCTTCTTTTCTTCCTCTTTCTCCTTCTCTTCCTCCTCCTCTTCTTCTCGTCCGCTTCTCCTCCTCCTCTTCTCCTCTTTTCCTCCTCCTTCTCTTCCTGCTTCTCCTGCTTCTCCTTCTCCTCTCCTTGTCCTCCTTTCCTCCTCCTCTCCTTTCCTTTCTCTTCCTCCTTCTCCTCCTCTTCCTTCTTCTCTCCTCCTTTCCTCCTCCTTCTCCTTTCCTCCTTCTTCTCCTCCTTCTCTTTTTCCTTCTCCTTCTCTTCCTCCTCCTTCTACTTCTTTTCCTCCTTCTCCTCCTTTCCTCCTCCTCCTCCTCTTTCTCCCCTTTCCTCCTCCTCCCTTTCCCCCATGGAGGCTCTGACCCGAGCTCTTTCCCCCTCGCCAGTGGAGAGCCTGCGGGTGCTGCTGCTGCGGCGGCTGGGGCCGGGCCGGGAGGCGGAGCCCGAGGACGAGCTCACCCCCACGCCGTCGGTCAGCGGGGCCGCGGGCCAGGCCTGGGACTCGGCCCTGCAGGAGGCGCTGCCGGAGCCCCCCGAGGACGCGGAGCCCCCGGACGGGACGGGACCGGGGCCGGGACCCGCCGAGGAGCTCAGAGTGGTCCGGAAAGGTGGCGGGAGGGGGCTTGGATGGGCAGGAACGGGGGGGCCCCCTTCGCCTCCTCCCTCCTCTTCCTCCTCCTCTTCCTCCCTCCCCTCCCCTCTCCCTGACCTGCCCCTGGCTGGGATTTGGGGTCTCGCTGCCACCTTCCCAAGTGAGCGCTGCTGGATCGGGGCTGGGGGCTCACAATGTGGGGCTGAGGGATGCAGGTGAACCCCCTCTGTCCACTGTGCACCCCAGGGTGCAGGGGCTTGCGTGGGTGCTGGGGGGTACTGGTGGTGGGATGCTGATGAATACTGGTGATTGGGTGCTGATGGGTGCTGGTGGTGGGATGCTTATGAGTACTGGTGATTGGGTGCTGGTGGATACTGGTGGTTGGGTGCTAATGGGTGCTGGTGGTGGGATGCTTATGAGTACTGGTGGTTGGGTGCTGATGGATACTGGTGGTGGGATGCTGATGAATACTGGTGGTTGGGTGCTGGTGGATACTGGTGATTGGGTGCTAATGGGTGCTGGTGGTGGGATGCTGATGAATACTGGTGATTGGGTGCTGGTGGATACTGGTGGTGGGATGCTGATGGGTGCTGGTGGTGGGATGCTGACGAATACTGGCGATTGGGTGCTGGTGGTGGGGTGCTGACGAATACTGGTAATTGGGTGCTGGTGGATACTGGTGGTGGGATGCTGATGGGTGCTGATGCTGGGGTTCTGGTGCTGGGATACTGATGGGTGCTGGTGGTGGGATGCAGAGAGATACTGGTGCTGGGATACTGGTGATAGGGTTCTGCTGATGGGTGCGGGCCCTGCTCACCCCCTTTCCCCGACCCCCCCCTCTCTTTTCGGGGTGCACAGCCCGGGCAGAGGGGGGCAAGGAGGCCACGCCCTCTCCAGGTAGCAGCCAATCAGAAACTGAGCTGCAGGAAGGAGGCGGAGCTAATGTAGATGGTAAAGAGCCCTCCCTCCCCATGTCCCGGTGTCCCCATTGTCTGAGTGTCCCCATTGGTGTCCCTGTAGGGCCTCATCCTCTAATGGCACATGAGTCCCTGGTGGGGGGGCCAGTGGCATTCGGGGGGACCTGTCCCCACACCCCCCCCACACTGTCCCATGGCCAGGGCCACCCAGTGCCACCACAGCCGGGCCGGGAGCGAGCTGGGGCCGGGTCTGTGTCCTTATCCCACCCCAAAGGGACACATCCTACATGGGGGGGGACACACAGCAAACCCCCCCCATGACACCACCAGCACCGCCCCATGGGTCCCTGCCCCCTAACGCTGCTCATCCCCTCCCCAGGCAACTATTTCTATGTGAGCATGCCCATGGGGCTGCCCTCGGTGCCCCCCCCGAGCCCCCCCCGGGAGCCACCGGCCCGGCCGAGCCCCCCCGAGGCTCCCCCGGGGGACGTGGACCTCATCTTCCGCACCATCGAGCAGCTCACGCTGAAGCTCAACAGGCTCAAGGTGAGCCCCAGGCCGGGCATGGGGAGATGGGGGGGGGGCACATTATGGGGGGGCCATTGGGTGTTGTGTCCCCCCCCCTCCATGACCCCATTTCTCTGTTCCAGGCTGTGGAAAGAGCCCATCGGGAGCTGCTGCGGTCGCTGGGGCACAGCTCCTCAGCCGATGCCACCCCCCTGGGGGGCTCAGCCCCAGAGATGGAGCCATGGGGCCAACAGCCCCCCAGCCCCGACAGCGACAGCCCCTTGTCCCGCGCACTGCGGAGCCTGCAGGGGCCCGCCACCAGTGCCCCAGGTAAGAGCCCCCCTCCATCCCATCACATCCCCAAATCGCTTCCATGCAGATCCCCCCCTCTCCATCCCATCATATCCCCCCATCACTTCCATGCAGAGCCCCCCTCCATCCCATCATATCCCCATCACTTCCATGCAGAGCCCCTGTCCATCCCATCATATCCCCATCACTTCCATGCAGAGCCCCCCTCCATCCCATCATATCCCCATCACTTGCATGCAGAGCCCCCCCCTCCATCCCATCACATCCCCCCATCACTTCCATGCAGAGCCCCCCTCCATCCCATCACATCCCCCCATCACTTCCATGCAGAGCTCCCTCTCCATCCCATCATATCCCCATCACTTCCATGCAGAATTCCCCTCCATCCCATCATATCATATCCCCCCATCACTTCCATGCAGAGCCCCTCTCCATCCCATCACATCCCCCCATCAATTCCATCCAGATCCCCCCTCCATCCCATCACATCCCCCCATCACTTCCAAGCAGAGCCCCCCTCCATCCCATCATATCACCCCATCACTTCCATGCAGAGCCCCCCTCCATCCCATCATATCCCCCCATCACTTCCATGCAGAGCCCCCCTCCATCCCATCACATCCCCCCATCACTTCCATGCAGAGCCCCCCTCCATCCCATCGTATCCCCATCACTTCCATGTGCCCCCCTCCATCCCATCATATCCCCATCACATCCATGCAGATACCCCCCTTCATTCCATCACATCCCCCCATCACTTCCATGCAGAGCCCCCCTCCATCCCATTGTATCCCCATCACTTCCATGAGCCCCCCTCCATCCCATCATATCCCCATTGCTTCCATGAGCCCCCGTCCATCCCGTATCTCCATCACTTCCATGTGCCCCCCTCCATCCCATCATATCCCCATCACTTCCATGCAGAGCCCCCCCCTCCATCCCATCATATCCCCCCCCTCTCCATCCTCCCCCCCATTCCTCACCCCTCTCCCCTCTCTTCCAGGCTCCAGAGCCCCCCTGGCTGAGGCCCCCCCTCCTGACCTTTAGCAGCAGTGGGGCCCCCCCTTGAGCCCCCCCTGCTGTGGGCTGGGCTGGCAGGAGGGAGCCCCCATGGGCCCCCCCATGGCACCCATCGGGCCCCCCCATGGCACCCATGGGCCCCCCATGGCACCCATCGGCCCCCCCATGGCACCCATCGGGGCCCCCCATGGCACCCATCGGGCCCCCCATGGCACCCATCGGGGCCCCCCCATGGCACCCATCGGGCCCCCCCCATGGCACCCATCGGGCCCCCCATGGCACCCATGGGCCCCCCCGCGGGAGCTGGATCCGG